AAATATATAAATCTCTTTTAAAAATATCAAAACTTTAGCATAACACACAACTATTTCTCTATAAAACTATGTAAGGTTAATCATTGTCAGATAGATAATTTTCAAAAATATTGTTTTCTCTTTTTCTCTGTATTTCTTTGTTTGATATTAGGGAAAATAAAAATTTAAAAAAATGATATTATTTTGCACATTTAGCTAAAGATAATCATCTTAATACATACATTTTAATGTGTTAATATCTTTCCTACGTGTAATTGACTTCTAAACCCGAATTTGGTTTCGAAGATCATTTTTCTCAAAAAAAAATCTATAGTTTTCTTTAATAAACTATGGTGATGATTCTATTTATATTATTTATTTTTAAATTTACTTTTTACACCATCCCATCGTGATCCTGATTGCGATACAAGTTCACAAGTATCACAATTAAAACCAAAAAATCATGTTTTCTAAATAAACTAAGAAATAATTTTTAAAAATACTCACATGAGACATGATTGAGACCTTGATATCAAAATTAACTTCCAAATTATTTATTCCCTTATAAGTTGTCTACATTAAAACTTTTTGTAATTTCAACACATATATTGTTTTACGTCAAAACTAATTTATATAAGTTCTCTCTCCTAATATCATAATCAATTTTTTTTTATGGATATATTTGAAAATACAATAGCTTGGACCTACATATAAAATATTAAAATTTAAGAAATAAACAATCAAGATAAAATACTATTTAAAGTACAAGAAAGATTCAAATATTATTCTCCGATAATTTGGGTTTTGTTTCCATTCACAATATAAATATATTTATGTGTAAATAATTTAATTTGAGTGACCTTAATAGGGTCATTCATCATTGCAATTAAGCATATATCTCACCTTATTTGATAGAGAAAATCTCATTTTCCAATTTTGATATTTATATTGAACTTTTGTCTTCATAACATATCTTTAAAAGATAATAATATATTCACTGAGATTGAATAATAAAAAGAAATAATTTCTTTATAGATGAATTAAATTTTATATTTTCTTTTAAAATTTTAAATGATTCAAGACATAAAAAATTCATGACAGTAACTTTAAAAATATAAACTGTCATTCTCATAAAGGAAATATTTTTTTTAATATTTGTTTAAAAATGATAAGATGATTTAAAAAAAACAAGGCTCTTATTTTATGTGGGCAAAAGAAATTTGACCTAACCTTTCTTAAAAAAATTAAAATAATGAATAAGGTAACTAAGATCTCTTCCTGAATTCAAGCAACTTGATCTAAATGGTTGCACTTTAAAATTTATTAGACCCGAACCCTATTAAATACTAAAAAAAAGAAAAATGTCTACCTGTAAAAATATTTTAATGATTAAAACAAAAAATTATAATAGAAATATTAAAATATATATATATATAGGCTTTTTTTCATAAATAATACTGTTTTCAAAAATATTTTCCAAAATAGCACCTCTGCAACTTTATTTACACAACTAGCACTCGTTTATCGTTCACGTAATAAAATAATATTATTTTGCGTAACTCGTTTCATCGTTCACGTATTAAAATAATATTATTTCGCGCAATGAACTCTCGCTCAAGCGAAGAAACCCTTCGCTTGAACGAGGAAATCCGTAAGAAAGGGTTATTTCCGGTCAACTATCGCTCAAGCGACAGATATTTCGCTTGAGCGATAAGTGATTAAAATATGTGGTGACCCAAGTTGCGTTATGTGGCTAACTGCGTTGGACGTTTAGCCAAATAATGCAACTTGGGTCACTACATATTTCAATCACTTTTCGCTCAAGCGAAATATGCGTCGCTTGAGCGAGAGTTGACCCGAGACTTTAGATAGCGGTTCTAGAACTAACCGCAATTAAAAATATATTTTAGATAGCGGTTAACGTGGAACCACTATTATATGTTCACTTCTAAGAGCGGTTAAAATATAAACCGCTCTTAAAAGTGAGACATATAGTTGGACCGTGGGCAACTCTCGCTCAAGCGAGATGCTCATCGCTTGAGCGAATAAATTGATAATCGATTATAACGTGAAATAATCGATCATAGTTTTAAAAATAATTGACATATAATAGCGGTTCCACGTTAACCGCTATGTAAAATATACTTTTAATAGCGGTTGTTCTAGAACCGCTATCTAAGGTCACTCAAGCGAAAAACACATCGCTTGAGCGAGGACACCTGGAAAAATGGGTGATTCTCGGGTTCTGTCTCGCTCAAGCGACGTTATGAACGCTTGAGCGACAAGTGATTCTAATATGTGGTGAACCAAGTTATATTATTTGGCTACCTGCGTTTGACGTTTCATCATTCGGTCAAAACTCGCTCAAGCGACAAAGTCATCGCTTGAGCGATGAAGCCTTCAAACAAGGGGGACTCTCGGGTTCTGTCTCGCTCAAGCGACGGGTACTTTCGCTTGAGCGATAAGTGATTGAAATATGTGGTGACCCAAGTTGCATTATGTGGCTAACTGCGTTGGACGTTTAGCTTGGTCAATTTTAGCTCAAGCGAGAAAACCATCGCTTGAGCGAGAAAACCTGCAACTATTTACAATGCTGAGTCACCCACCCAAGTCAGGATTCCCATGTCTTTCTGATGCACACAAGTAAAGAATCCAATGCTGAGTTACCCACCTAAGTTAGGATTCCAATCTTGGATTCCCTGCATTGGGTTAGACAAAAGCAGAAGAATCCAAACATATTTAAAGAGATGTTGACCCACCCACTTTGCTTGGGTTTTGTGTGCGTCAGAAACCATGTGAGGGAGCATTGGATTCAAAGCAATGGACTTCATTATAAATAGACTACTTTCATTCTTTGAAATTCTCACATTGCACACTCCTAAATCTCTGAAGCTATTTGCATTATTTCTTCTTCTTACCTTTAGTCTTCTTTGTGTTCCACACTCCTAAAATGGGTGTAGTGTCTACTATTGTCCACTATGACTGTGGGAAATTCCAAAATTTTTACATGCCTTGTTCACATGTTCTTGCTACATGCAAGCATGCACACCATGACTTCAACAACTATATTAATTCAGTGTATACCTTACAACAAGTTTCAAAGGTATACGGAACACAATTTGGGTTATTGCGAAATGAAGAATATTGGCCAACATACACAGGACCTACTTTGTGTGCAAATCCAGAAATGAAAAGAACTTCAAAGGGCCGACCAAAATCAAGTCGTATAAGAACTGAGATGGACATTACAGAACATCAAAGTATGATTAAAAAATGTTCATATTGTCATACCCCTGGTCATAGCAGAAGAACATGTCCTAATGATGCATGTACATCTACTTCGCATCATTAGATTGTGTTAGTTAAGAAATGTCTCAATGTATGAAACTTAGGAGTTTTTCAATTAATTGAAAGTGATGAAGATCTTATTGAATCATTTGATAAAACGAAGATCTTTTCAGTTTGATGAAATCAAAGGTTATTTAAGGAACTTTTTGCTAACTATTGATGCACATATCAGTCATACAACTCAATATAACAAGAATGACCAACCATCAGTCAAGAAATTTTAATCGATTGTTTCTTGTTTTAATCGATTGATATACTGCAAAACTTTCTTATAAAACTTTCCAAGTTATTTTAGCTGATAAAAAGAAGTTTTAATCGATTAAAACTTTGTACCAAATTTTTCCAAGTTGTTTTAATCGATTGAAATGCGTTTTAATCGATTGAAACAGATCTGATCGGTCATAATTCAATTCTGATCGATCATAACCAACTCTGATCGGTCATAACTGCATTCTGATCGATCATTCTGACCCTTTAAGTGATTTTAATCGATTGAAACGTGTTTTAATCGATTGAAATAAGTTCTGATCGCTCATATTTCAAATCTGATCGGTCATAATGGGTTCTACAGGGTTTTGTATCGATTAAAATACTGTAAAAACACTTCTTTGATCATTCTAAGCCACTCCACAGAATTGATGCTTGACAGCCCCACAACCTCAAGCACTTTAACCCTGAGTAACCAACCAACCATCAGTCAAGAAATTTTAAATTCTCTTTACATGCTATCATCCCCATATTCACCTTTAATGAATCAATTACAGTCAGCTCCAGGTAAAACAATACAGACACAAGATAATTTCATAAACAAAACAAATTCCCCTTTCAACAACATCATATAATGCAACCTGGTTCACCTGCAGGTTTTCTCGCTCAAGCGATGAACTTCTCGCTCAAGCGAGAATTGACCATAGCTAAACGTCCAACGCAGTTAGCCACATAATGCAACCTGGGTCACCACATATTTCAATCACTTCTCGCTCAAGCGAAATTACCGTCGCTTGAGCTAGAATTTACCCGAGATTTTAGATAGCGGTTGTAGAATTGATCGCTATTAAAAGTATATTTTACATAGCAGTTAACGTGGAACCGCTATTATATGTGGATTATTTTAAAATTATGATCGATTATTTCACGTTATAATCGCTCTTAGAAGTAACATATAATAGCGGTTCCACGTTAACCGCTATCTAAAAGATAGTTTTAATAGCGGTTAGTTCTAGAACCGCTATCTAAACCCAAGTTGCATTATTTGGCTAAACGTCTAACGCAGTTAGCCACATAACGCAACTTGGGTCACCACATATTTTAATCACTTATTGCTCAAGCGAAATATCTGTCGCTTGAGCGATAGTTGACCAGAGATAACTGCGTTCTTACGGATTTCCTCGCTCAAGCGAAGGGTTTCTTCGCTTGAGCGAGAGTTCATTACGCAAAATAATATTATTTTAATAAGTGAACAGTAAACCATTACGCAAAATAATATTATTTTATTACGTGAACAGTAAACCGTGCTAGTTGTGTAAATAAAGTTGCAGAGGTGCTACTTTGGAAAATATTTTTAAAAACAGTATTATTTATGAAAAAAAGCCTATATATATATATTTGTGAAAATGAGAATAAAATGTAAAAAATAAAATAATTTTATTTATAAACTTCCTCCCCATTTTCAGGATTCCGCGCCCAGATCGCAGATCCCGTTAATTTTCTACCCGTACCCATACCAGATCACAGCCCTATTCTTTCCTCTTACTAGTGGTGTGAACAGGCCCTCCTTTGGTGTGCCAGTTTCCAACACTTCCAAGTTCCCCCACTGCTTACCGCACATAGCAGTGTCGTGCTTCTGATTGTGCCTCAACGACTAGTTCAAGTTCAAGGTATGTTCTACAAAACCAAAACCCACACTCTTCTCTACCTTAACAACGCAAGATCTATATCAAGTCTCAAAGTAGTGTGGCGCAAGGACCCAACACTCGATCGAGCTATAGAGCACGACAAGCGTTACAAGCAATGTGCCCGCGTCGTCAAGGAAGTCCTCAACGAACCCGGCCAAGTCATCCCTCTCCGCTACCTCGAAAAGCGCCGCGAAAGGATGCGCCTCAAGGTCAAAGCCGAAACCTTTCTCAACCAAAACCCTGGCTTGTTCGATGTCTACTATGACCGCATCAAACCCAAAACCGAACCGGTTCGGTTCATCCGCCCCACCGACCGCCTTCGCCGCTTTCTCCAGGAAGAACAACGGATTTTCTCCGAGAACGAACCCTTCATTGTCTCAAAGTTGTGTAAATTGTTAATGATGTCCAAGAACAAGGTTGTTAGTGCTGATAAGTTGCTTCACGTGAAGAGAGAGTTCGGGTTCCCTAACGATTTTTTGGTTGATTTGGTTCCCAGGTATCCGCAATATTTTAGGTTAACTGGGTCTCCTGGGGAGGGGAAATCGTTTCTTGAATTGGTTAATTGGAATTCCGAGTTTGCAAAATCTGTTATTGAGGAGAGGGCTGATGAGGAGGGTGAGCGTTTGGGAATTAAGGTTAGGCCTAGTTTCAATGTGGAGCTTCCAGCAGGGTTTGTGTTGAAGAAGGAGATGAGGGAGTGGGTTAGGGATTGGATGGAGCTTGATTATGTGTCTCCTTACGAGGATGTGTCCCATTTAGACCAGGCTTCTAGAGAGATGGAGAAGAGGTCCGTTGGAGTGTTCCACGAACTGCTTTCTCTTTCCTTGCATAAGAGGATTCCTGTGCCGATCCTTGGAAAGTTTTGTGATGAGTATAGGTTTTCCAATGCGTTTTCCAGCACTTTTACAAGGCATTCGGGGATATTCTATTTGTCCTTGAAAGGTGGGATTGAAACGGCAGTGTTGAGAGAAGCATACAGAGTTGAGGAGTTGGTTGACCGCGATTCGTTGCTTCAGATAAAAGATAAGTTTGTTGAGTTGTTGGAGGAGGGGTGGCGGCAAAGAGCGGAGCAATTGAGATTGAAGCAGGAGAAGATTAAGGAAGATATGGAGCTATTGGCCACCAAAGTTTGTGATTGAATGTGTAAAACAGGTGTGTTGATACGAAGAGCTTTCAATTTTGTAAGATTTTTCTGAGGAAAAAGCTTGATCGTTGCTAGTTAGTACAATCCTCCTCACTTGGTATGATTGTTAGTTAGTCTTAACTTCCATGAATTGTTGAAGAAAATTGAATGGTTACCTCTTAGGACTCTGTTATTGAAAGATGCTACAGTGAAACTTTTTTGGCTTAGTAATATATCAAGGGATCATTTTTCCCTCCATGTTTGTGTTGTTGTTTGTTTAAATAATGTTCCCTTTTACTTGAGATCTTGGTTCTCAGTCAACAAAATATCAGAATCAGAAATCAAAGTATTGTATTGTTTTCCTTGAAATATTTTGATTTCAGCTTAAAAATATTCTTTTAAAATGTTGAAGATGAGTGTTTTCAATATGTTTCATCTTTGTTAATAAGCATTTATATTGTTTGGGCTATTTAACAATCAATTTTACTGGCATCAAAACGTGATGTGAACATGACCTAAGATAAAGGCTAGAGCAAGGAAACAAATGAAGCTCTTCAACAAATATTGTTGGTTGACCAAATTGTGTTTTGGATTAATCAATTAATGGGCTTTAGTTTGATTTTGTTTTAAGTTGTAATAAGGGCCCAATTGAAAATTTAGTCACCAGCCTTTGGGAGACCAAGGGGTGCATAGCTGATTGACTTTTGGTTGCCACAGTTTCAAATACAATCAGTCATTAAGTAGTTTCAATTTCTAGGTTAATGGATCATTATTAGCTTTTATTTGTTTCCATTAAATAGTTTTCAATTCCTAGATTAATGGGTTATTATTAGTATTTATTTTCTTTTATTGAGTCTTTTGTAATTCTGATGACAACTCTTCTATATCAGTCAAGAAATAACAAGTGAAATTTTATTCAAAAATATTAGAGTTTATCTCTTTTATCTTAGTGAGAGTGATTCTCCTAAATTCTTGAGTGATTTAAGAACCCTTGACTGTATCAAAGGACTGTCACATCCTTTGTGTGTTGCCTCCCTTGGGAAGAGTGATTCTTTCCTTCCACCTTCTTTCTAATTCCTAAATTTCTTACAAGGTTCTAACCCTAAAGATCCTAAATTATCCCTTGTGATTCATATCATTTGGTATCAGAGCTCCGGTTTAAAGGTTTGAACATTAAATTGATGGCAGAAGAGGAAAATTACAATCAAGAAGCAGGAATTAGTCCAATTTAAATGAGAGTATTGGTACAACATTTGGAAGGATTAATGAGCTCTATGAAAAATTGAACCGGTTGGAGAATAGAAATCCTGAAGACGAAGAAGAAAGGAGAAATAGGAGAATGAATGATGGAGTAACAAGACCAAGTAGGCTTGAAGGAGTCAAGCTTAACATTCCTCCGTTCAAAGGAAAAAGTGATCCAGAAGCATACTTGGAGTGAGAGATGAAAATAGAGCATGTTTTCTCATGCAACAATTATGAGGAGACCCAAAAGGTGAGGCTTGCAACAACAGAATTTTCTGACTATGCTCTTTGGTGGAACAAGCTACAAAAGGAGAGAGATAGAAATGAAGAGCCAATGGTTAATACATGGACTGAGATGAAAAGGATCATGAGGAAGCGATATGTGCCGGTTAGTTATGCAAGGGACTTGAAATTTAAACTCCAAAAACTTACTCAAGGTAACAAAGGGGTTGAGGAATATTTCAAGGAAATGGACATGCTCATAATTCAAGCAAAGATTGAAGAAGATGAAGAGGTAACTATGGCCCGATTTATTGGTGGTTTGAATATTGATATATGTGATATTGTTGAGTTGCAGGAGTTTGTTGATATGGAGGATTTACTTCATAAAGCAATTCGAGTGGAGCAACAACTCAAAAGAAAAGAAGTGACTAAGAAGAGTTCTACCAACTTTGGATTTTCAAGTTGGAAGGACAAAAACAAAAAAGATGGGACTGTTACTTCTAGTAGTTCCACACCTATTCCTACAAAGACCCATTCAAAATATGAAGAACAACCCTCTAAAAAAAGTAAAGATGTGAAGTGTTTCAAGTGTCAAGGCTTAGGACACTATGCTTATGAGTGTCCTAACACAAAGACAATGATTCTTAGAGAGGGAGAATATATAAGTGAATCTGAGGTTGAAGAGGGAGAAAAGAGTGAAGACACTGAGGAGGAGGAAGAAATTCCAAAGGGAGATTTATTGATGATTAGGCGATTACTTGATAGTCAATTGAAACCTATGGAAGAAAACCAAAGAAAAAATATTTTTCACACTAGATATTTAATCAATGACAAGGTGTGCATGATGATCATATATGGAGGTAGTTGCACCAATGTGGCTAGTGCTAGATTAGTATCAAAGCTAAATTTAGCTACCAAACCACATCCTAGGCCATATAAACTTCAATGGCTTAGTAAGGATGGAGAGGTGCAAGTGAGACAACAAGTTGAAGTGGACATTTCCATTGGAAAATACAATGATAAGGTGCTTTGTGATATTATTCCTATGGAAGTCAGTCATTTACTTTTGGGGAGACTATGACAATTTGATAAAAGGGTTAATCATAACGGGTTCACCAACAAGATTTCTTTCATACACCAAGACAAGAAGATTGTGCTCAAACCTTTGAGTCCACAAGAAGTATGTGAGGATAAAAAGAAAATGAAAGAAAAACTTCTTCAAGAAAAGAGAGAGAAAGAAAGCGTTAGTGAAACACTTGAGAGGAAAAAAAGTGATCAAAAGAAGAATGAAACACTTAAGTAAAACAGAGCTATTTAGCCATAAAAAGTGAGTATAATGTTTTTTTACATTAAATTTGTCAGACTTATCTCTTTTTAATGTAGATGACGAATCCGATTTGAGGACAAATCCTTTTCAAGAGGGAGAGAATGATGTGAACATGACCTATGATAAGGGCTAGAGCAAGGGAAACAAAGGAAGCTCTTCAACAAGTATTGTTGGTTGACCAAATTGTGTTTTGGATTAATCAATTAATGGGCTTTAGTTTGATTTTGTTTTAAGTTGAAATAAGGGCCCAATTGAAAATTTAGTCACCAGCCTTTGGGAGACCAAGGGGTGCATAGCTGATTGACTTTTGGTTGCCACAGTTTCAAATACAATCAGTCATTAAGTAGTTTCAATCCCTAGGTTAATGGATCATTATTAGTCTTTATTTGTTTTCATTAAATAGTTTTCAATTCCTAGATTAATGGGTTATTATTAGTATTTATTTTCTTTTATTGAGTCTTTTGTAATTCTGATAACGCTTCTATATCAGCTGAACCATTCTTATAAAGAAATAACAAGTGAAATTTTATTCAAAAATATTAGAGTTTATCTCTTTTATCTTAGTGAGAGTGATTCTCCTAAATTCTTGAGTGATTCAAGAACCCTTGGCTGTATCAAAGGACTGTCACATCCTTTGTGTGTTGCCTCCCTTGGAAAGAGTGATTCTTTCCTTCCACCTTCTTTCTATTTCCTAAATTTCTTACAAGGTTCTAACCCTAAAGATCCTAAATTACCCCTTGTGATTCATATCAGTTTTCAATATGTTCCATCTTTGTTAATAAGCATTTATGTTGTTTTGGCTATTTAACAATCAATTTTACTGGCATCAAAACGTGAGTTTGTCAATTTTAATCAAGCTCATTTGCAGACTCTGAAAGACAGCTCACTTCCCTCTATGGTTCAGCCCATGGCTGCCCCTAGACATAGCCAACCTATCAATGATGCAATGCACCATCAAGTCCCTGATTATAGAGAGATGCACATGCCAGAATCTACTTGCTCTTTCAACAGTTTTCCTGTACCTCCTCCAGACAATTTAGGACATACAATTTAGGACATACTGGTGGTGTTGCTATGCATAATAAAGGGTACTCTATTCGGCCTCCCCAACATGTACCGTCTAATCAGTTTTTTGTTGTTAATGGGGAACGACATGTGAATCATCGAAGGGAGGTTCCACCACCCCCTCCTTGCTCCAATAGATTGTTAGAATCACATAGCGCAATGTTTGCGTTTACGGACAAAAACTAAGAGGGGGTGAATTGGTTTCTTAAACAAAAATTAGGATTTTAAAATTTTTTCCAAATTTCACCGATTAAAATGTTGTGTAAAGTAAATAGAGAAGAGATAGAAGATTACATAGCCGATTTATACTAGTTCGGATCAAAAGACCTTACGTTCAGTTGCTAATCACTCAAACAGAGGATTAACGTTGTCACTATAATCACAATTATACAAACAGATTACAAATAAAAAGATAAGGTAAAAAATACACCTCTCTTGAGTCACACAAAAAATGAACACCTCCTTTGAATCCATAAAGGATGAAAATCAGTTTTCCCTAATGACGGCACAACACACAATCCACTAAAAAAACCCACTCAGTGATTCTTATCGCTTCTAGCCCATACTAGGTTTTAAAAGCCTCTTTTTTCTCCAGCAAACAGTTCTTTAGCAGTCATAGCTCTTAACTTTTGTTTGAAAAAGGTTGTTCATTTTACAGAGAGCCTTAGAGAACCTTAAGTAGAGAGATTAGGATTTGAGAATTGGGGATTTTCGAACATAGATGAATTGGGAATAGGGTTTTCAAAACTTGGACCAATTTTGAATTTCAAAACACATATCTGACTGAAATAATCGATTATCTTGAGTGTTAATTGATTATTCCAGAGCCAAATTCGTAGAGAACCCTAATCAGCTCCAGTTAATCGATTATTCCAGAGAGCAGATGCTGAAAATGGTTTTCTCTATGTGCTAGTTATCTTAGACTCTAATATTACAGACTCAAAATCATAAGAACAGAGTTATTACATAATATTACAAGTCTTCAAATCTTTAAGTCATTTATTCTTGAATCATCATCAAAATCAACAAGCTTCATATTCATGTATGTTTAATATTCATATCCTTGTATGTTTCAACAATCTCCCCCTTTTTTATGATGATCAAAATTTCCTTTAAAGCCCTTTGTAATAATCTGTTTTGTCTGTCACATCTAACAAAAACATTAACATACCAGATAATATTTAAATTTAATAAACATAAGAGGCTTTAAATAATTTCTCCTCCTATTTTGATTATGATAAAAAAAAATGAAAGTTCCCCCTCAATAAATGCATAATTTATAAAATAGCTCCCCCTCAAACAAAGCAAAAATATCAATTTTATTCCCTAAATTAAAGTAATTACAATCAAGAAGATATGAGGAAGAGATTAAAACTCTTCACTCCCATCACTGTTAAATGTGGCATCAAATCTATCCTCTAGGTTTCAAACCCTATCATCTATATCTGAGATACGACGAATGATTTCCTGATGCCATTCTTGAGAAATAGTGAAGAATTCTTGCATTCTTTGATTCATATCAAAGAGCATATCTTCCATTGATTGGCGCGATGTAGTAGGGGCAGATGATGTCCCAGCAGTATGTATATTTTCAGTAGGAAATTCAGCAGTTGCAGACATCTCTTCATCATAATCTTCAGCATTTTCAGCCATGTTGGGAGCGTCATCTTTGTGCACGTAGATTCCATTGACACGCACCATTTGTAACTGAGTTAGCGTGCTGTCAAGCATTCTATTTTAATTTATCGTCCTTACCGTTTGCTCTCCTTCAACATTCACTCCTTTGTATTCTAAAATACGAGAAATAAGAAGAGCATATGAAATTTTGAAAGTAGGATGACGCTTAGCTTTAAGCATTGTTATGGTGATTAGACTACCCCAGTCAATTGGCTCATTATTCATGATGACATGAATAATGCGAAGATCAATAGATGAGCATTGGGCATGGTTGGTTGCCCGGGGACATAAAATCCAGACAATAAGATGCAGTAGTAAGCGTTCCTCCTTCTTTAATGGGCCGGTCAATAGAAGACGCTCAATTTTCATGGAGGGGTTGCAGAGAAATGAACGGTAAGCCATAATTCTATCAAAGTCTTCTAATTCCGCAAAAATATTGATAGCATCTTCTCTTACATTAAAATGAGCAACATTTTCCCATATATCGTCATCAAGGATGATAGTCACACCCTTGACTTGAGAAGTAGCTACATGATCTCTAAATTTAAAACGAGAATAGAATACCCTAACTAGATTAGGGTAGTAAGTACCTTGCATTTGGATAAATGGGAGGACACCTTGAATTTCAAGAAAATTTGGAAAATTAAATCCCCTATTGATGAATTGATCACCAATAATATATTTTGTAATCTATTTATATAACTGTAATTATAGTGACAGCGTTAATTATAGTAATAGCGTCAATTCATCAATAGGGGATTTAATTTTCCAAATCTTAATGTTTGTTGTATTCATATGGAATGAAATCAAGTATCTTTCTCTGGTAGGTCCTCGATATCAGGATAAAGGTGTGCCTGCTCCTTATGGTTGTCATCCATGTGAATCAACTAGAATACCAGATCATGGGTGGAGATTTCCTCCTCGTTCTATGAATCAGAGGAACTCCATGCCCTTTAGACCACCCCTTGAAGATGTAATTCCAGTTTCAAACAGAGGTGCTTTCTCTTTTTACACCACATTTTCACTTCTGTAGTTAGAAATTTCGTATTGATATAATGTCTTTTGCTCCTATTGAATTCTGGGATAGAAAATAGTAAACGCTAAAATATTTATGTTTCAGGTCCGAGCTTTTGGCAGCCTAGGTAATCAGAAAATACTTAGAAACCATGATTGGTATACATCTCTTTATCCTCTTTTCTTTAGTGCTTGTCCTTCAGCTAGTAATATTCTTGTTGGTACTCATGTTTCCCTCTTTTGATTGCTAGGTATCAGGCCTTGTTTGAAAAGGTGATTTACCATTCTGTACATGCATGAATCCTTGGTTGGAAGGGGGTCGGCGGAATCTGCACAGGACATGTAATGATCTGCTAGGTTTTGTACATATGTATTTTAGCCTCTTCTGCAGAATGCAGGGCAGGGCAGAATGAGTAATTGTAGAGTTGTTGGAGAGGGTAACCTATTTAGGTTGTCATGTGTCAAATTTTTTGCTCCAAATTTTATAACTTATTTCATCGTAGCCCTTACAGAAGTTAGTTCAATATACATATAATATATATACATACAAATTTCAGGGATGTTTCCTGAAATTGTACTATTATTAGTATATGGAAAATTTTCTTCTCTGCCAAGTGTGTATGGTCTTATTCTCTTAGTGGCCGCCAACTTAAATGGGTTGTTTGGGTTCCTTTCCATAAAAGGTGCTGTCCTGTAGTGCCAGCCTTGAGAATTTATGAATTTCTTATTTCTAAATTCCGATTAAACCTAAGATGGCATTCATCTGCCTCTGCTTTGGGTAGGTATCTGTTCATGTTATTTATGGAAAAATGTTTAATAACAGTAAGATATATTAAAGAGTAGAGCGAATAATTATTTTAATTTTAAGTAACACTTATATGCTTTTAAATTATAAGAACTGTTGAATTGGTTGGAAAATAAACTAGTTCGGTGAATAACATTTTGAAAAAGAAATGTAAGGTCAAACGAGGAAAGCAAAGCAAACAATAGTTTTTAGGTATAATTTGTCTTCTATTAGAAACAGACAAACGTTGATGAGAGTACGTGAATTGTTAGAGGAAAAAGAAAACACTTACTAGTTAATTGCAAAAGGATCTGCAAATTTATGAAAAAGAAAGATAGTTTGGTGGTTCTATTGGTTACTTAAACAAAATTCAAAAGAAAACATGACTTGAAATGAAAATGAGATAAAAAAATCAGATGTCATACCAATATGTTTAATGCACGGGGTTTATGTTGAGTTAGAAAATTATTATTTAAACTGGCGTGTATATATTATTATTTTACTCTTTAGTTATATGCACGTTCTTTTTCTATACTCACTAACATTAAGATGGCGTATTCTTATTTTATATATATATATATATATATATATATATATATATATATATATAACGAAAACACACTAACATTAAGATGGCGTATTCATATTTTGTATATTATTATTATTATTATTATTTTATTTATTTATTCTCTATTTTTTAGATGTACTTCAAAGTTTCTAACTTTTATTAATTAAAAAATGAATTATATGTAATACTATAGTCCGTTAAAGAATTTTATTGAACATTTTAGTTTATGAAAGATTTTCTATTTCTCGTTTTAAACAAATATGTAAAATCCTTTTAATGTAGAAATTAAGTGTTATGTTTACATATTTTTTTCATTTTGTTGACTGTAAAAACATACTGAATACTATTATGTTCATTAAAAACAATATGTAGTCACTTATTAAGTGTAAAAATTAAATCAAATTGTTATACATATCAATTTATTAATATTACATCACTTTAAACAAATTATTATGGTTATTATCATTAAATTAATAAATATTTAAGATTTTTTACTTAAAATGTTTCAAAAATCTCGATTAATATAATGAAAGTACATCTAACTATCTAATGCCATTAATAGTATGCATTCAATTATTAAGGAAAAAAATTATTTCATATTTATATATCAACATTCAAAATATAATTTATCAAAGATTTTATTAAACATTAAAACATAATAAAAGAAATTAATGAGTTAGCGCAGATACTCCATTTATTATGTTTAATAAACATATTATCTAAAAAAATATTTAATATATTATAGATCACATTGACTCCTAATAAATGATCGTATTTATTAAATACAATATATATAGTTAAATTATTAAGTATGGAAAATAAAAAAATTATCTATGAAAAAATATGTTACGCTTTTTTAATTTAAGAAATAGAGTTTAGACATGTATTTACTGTAGCTTAAATTTTTCTATATTTTTAAAACTAATAAAAAATTACAATTTGAATAAATTTATAAGAAAATCGGATGATGATGAAATTATATATATATATATATATATATATATATATATATATATATATATATATGTAAAGAGGTTTTACACGTTTAATATATGTATTATTTATTTATAAATATATTATATTTTATAATCATTATAATGAACGAGTGAGTATACTTATTAATTTAATATTACATTTAAATTGGGGATAGTTTGAAATTCAATAAAACATTTCGAATACTTCTGAATTCATCTCGTCCTTTAAAAATTTCAAATTTGTTAAATAATAATTTAAGTTAATTTATGGTTCCACTATTTTTCATAAATTAAAATGTACTCATCTGCGAAAGTAGAAAAGTTGGTAATATTCTACCTTTTAGCTTTGATTTTGTGGTGTAAATAAACTCCTATGCAAATCAATGAGAGGAACTATTTTAGAAGTGAAATTCATTCTTCCCAGCAGCACATACATACAAGATCATGCAAGCCATGTTATGATTCCAGGGTGTAAGGTGACCAGTCAATACTTAGAAAAACATTGAAGTGGCCAACATCGATTCATTGTTTGATAAACAAATCTTTTGTCATCGTGTAAGAAGAGGAAAGTTGTAGTAAAATATTCATTGACGTGAAAAACAAATCTTTCATCCACTTCATTATCAAATGGAAGAGATTTCGTGCCAACAAGTTATTGAATCAGAATGGAGAATGAGAATGCTATAAATGCTAAATTTACTCTGATCGTGCAAGACATAAACATATAACAGACTTGCCCGTAGATCAGAAAAGAAAGAGTCTTGCCATATTGAACACAGACAGAAAATGGGTGCCTCTCAATCAGTCTCAGAAAATTCCATCCATGAATTCACTGTCAAGGTACATTTTGTTATACCAGTCTCAACCGAAACAAAAGTCTAACAAGATTATTGTTTCAAAAAGTAAAATGTACAAAATTTTGTAAATTTGAACCAAAAGTAAAAAAATGTACTGAGAAAGAACATGTATGAGACATGTTTATTGATTGTGGTTGGCACAGGATGCCAGAGGCAAAGATGTGAACCTCAACGCCTACAGGGGCAAAGTTCTTCTTGTAGTTAATGTTGCTTCAAAATGGTAGGTTTTACTATTTTAGCACAACTTTCTTTTGTTTTCCATCTTAGTTACAAAAGAAAAACAAAGGATTAACTGAAACCATGGTGGTTAAACAAACAGTGGATTTGCGGAGGCCAATTACACCCAGTTAACTCAGCTTTATTCCACATACAAAAGCAGGGGTATGCTATTCATTTTGAGCTTATTTGAACTTATTCAGATTGGTTGCCCTAAAAGGAATTTGATGATTGTATAGTTGATGTTAGGTCTTGAGGTTTTGGCATTTCCATGCAACCAGTTTCTGAAGAAAGAGCCAGGGACTAACCAGGAGGCACAAGACTTTGCATGTACAAGGTATAAGGCTGAGTATCCCATTTTTGGGAAGGTATGTTGCTTCTTCTTATGTGCTATCCTTTACTCATTTCATCATATATTTCATGATATGTTGCAGCTCAATAATCTTATGCTTTATATTATTGATTTTTACATGTAGATTCGTGTGAATGGATCAGATAGTGCACCTGTATACAAATTCCTGAAAGCCCAGAAATCTGGATTTGCAGGATCAAGAATCAAATGGAATTTCACCAAGTTTTTAGTTGATGAAGAAGGCCATGTCATCCACCGTTATAGCCCAACCACTAAGCCATTAGCCATTGAAGTACTCTCTCTCTCTTGGATCTCAAATACTCTTAAATTAAACTATTTTTTAATACAATATTTAAATTTATTCATATACTTCACCATAATTTTTAATATTCTTTTAAACATGCTCTTCCATTTTTATCTGTTACATTTTTATTAATTCTTGAAGCTTCAAACTTACGGGTTGCTATGTTATCGTCTTTGACAGAATGACATCAAGAAAGCATTACGGGTGGCTTGAAAGACGAGTCTACAATTATTTCAAACAATTGTTCAAGTTTAAGATATCTAAAACGAGAAAAGAAAAGGTTATGTGATTGATGTTTATTTTATTCATTATTTAGCTTATATTTATGTCTATGGTTTTATTTGTGATGTTGTATGAATTTTTTTTAACCTTTCTATATCTATTATTTTGTTAATGTTTTCAAGGAAATAATTATTCAATTTGTTTTTGCCAAGTAAACGTATGCAAAATTCATCTTGTTTTTGTTAGTAAGAAATTCATCTTCAATTCTATTGGGTTATTTTGTTTTGATTATCTTCATTATTGAAAATGATATTTTTAAAATTATTATAGAAATTAAGAGTTAAAATTAAGTAAAGTAGTCAATCAATCAAGTAATATATATTTATTTTTCCTATTTTCGTCAAAATTTCACTTAATTTAAATATAATTGACAATTTTTTAATGTTTGAATGACTAACAACATCAAGAATAAAATATTATAGTTGAAATCTCATATCAATCTTTTCTTTGGTCACCACACATATATATTATCCTTGGATATTTTATAAATATCCTTTCATACTAAACTAGCACCAAGAGATCAATTACTCGTCAAAATTCAATTCTTGCGATTGTTTATTAATTGAAGTTAACAAAATATTAAATCTTATATGATATTTACCTAAAACTTTAAAAGTAAACAAATAAAAAAAACATATAATTAAGTTTTTGGAGTTGTTTTTCAATTTGTAACTAAAAAGATATTCACTTTAAAAATGATCTTAGGATTCTTTTAACTATCATAATGATCTTGACACACTATATAATTTGTATTAAAATATCGATAAATAATTTCATATGGTTTATAAAATAATGTTACAAATTTCAACAAATTCTACCCATCAACATCTCTCAACTTTTGAATCAAAACTTTTATAGTTTATACTAGTTATATTGCATTTTCGACATCTTGATACTTTTGTTATAAAACTTGACAGAGACAATTTATCACTTAAGTAATCTCTTTCATCAAGTGTAAAATTAGTATAAATTCAAATGAATCCATAATATTCTAAACAACATCAACATCCTCACGTTGAGAATAAATTGTTCCATCAATTATAACTTTTTGAAGAATCTTACAAGTTATATCATACATATGTGTCATACTATAAATAGATGAAAAATGTGAACTCTAACAAGTATCTCTTGCTTGTTTCAAGTGTCAAATTGATTTTCTCTTCATCAAGTTCACCAATATCTAGCAAATGTGCTATTTCATCTAATTTTATAGCACATGACTCATCATCATGACACTTACAAAATAAACACATAATATTGATAACAAATGTCAAATTAAAAAAAAAATTTGATGGATTATAATAAGTTCTCTACAAGCAGCAACTAAAACAAGTTGTAATATATGTGTAAAATAACGTATATAATATGCATATGGACCATCTTTGAGAAATAATACTTGCAAACCATTTTATTCTCCTCTCATATTATTAGCATCATCACGAATGTTTAACACATCGAGACCATGCAAATAAAGAACAAAAAATAGTTCTTCTTTAAGAGTAAGAGTATTAGTAACTTTAACATGCACAAGATAAAAAAATATTTTTGTATACAACCATTTTTATCTACAAATCTCAAAACAATGACTATTTGTTCCCTTTTGTGATTCATTAACAATTATGCCAAATTTAGAATTTTCAATCTGTTAATGAATATAACTTCTCACTTTTATAGATATGATGTCCAATATTGGCTTTTGAATTCCATGAGAAGTATATTTTTAATTATATGAAATACTTTCTAATATTATAGTTTATCATTTTATAATGTTAAAAGTTTGATCATTTTAAGAAAATTACTTTAATGTTTGATTTTGATGATTCGTATCGACCTTTGAAAGAACTAGCTTGAATGTAAGCTAACAAATTGAATCAATAAAACTCTTGAGATATTATCTATATTTACTAATTTCATTAGACTTTGCAAATTCATAACATTTTTTATATGCATATAGATTGATTTAGTAAGTCTTTAACAAAATTTTAGTGCATTATGGTGTGATGAGCAAGGACTCTCTCCAATATGATTAAAAAATGTACAATTCTTTCTAGGATTAACTTTTCTCTATGTTCTAAATCATTTTCTTGTAAATACATTTGATCCAGGTGCCCATTTGTAAATAACACAATAAACAATAAACAACATAGCGTACTCTATTAAGGAAATACACATTTTGAACAAAGTAAATTGAAATTGCCTTGAATGTTTATCTTTAGAAAGGAAATAATTATCAAGATGACACTCGATATAGGCTCTATTTTAAATGAACTCTTTGAATTTCGATTCATTGAAAATTTCCAAATTTAAAAAGATTTTAAGAGAACCATATAGGAAACGTTGGAAAAATTAATAATAATAATAATAATAATCTTGATTTTGATTCTAATGATCAAACATACACATAATCTCATACTGATAAACATGTTGTAAACTGAATGCGAAAGCGTACCTGAATTAGTCATAATGATGATGTATTTGTAGAGCACTATATTGATCTTATGGTCTTCCACCTGAAGAACACCTGTATTTCTTTCTTGATGGGGATAAAAAGAAAGGAACAGGAATGAAACTTACGTTTTGTCTGTGTGCTCCCAGAAGGGGACCACGACCCCTTAAAATAACCAGAATTAGGTTAATTACTTAAGTTTTAGTATTTCCAATTTGGCCCCTCATCAAATTAGAAATTGCTCAATGGTCTCTACATAATTTTATTTTCATGACATATGCCTTTAGCCAAAACTTTAATTTAGTCAAATCACTTTATTATTTGGCTTAATAAATAATGACCCTAACACATTTAAATTATGTGTCATATATATACATGACCCAAATTTTGCCAACAATCTCCCACTGGTCACAAATATATATGTCCTTACAACCTTACAAATGTGTTAGACTTTATGAGCTCAAAATTTCCATTATATTCCTTTAGTATACTCCAAAAGTCCTGTCCATTAAACATATCAGGATATAGAACCAAACCAGCTTTTCATTGCATCATCGCAACTAAAACCAACAATGATTACTCATCCTAACATAACCAAATGACATGGATTCATCATGAAATGTGTAGTATGAAAAATTACGTGAAGGTGATCTGTACACGTCTATTTTCAACTGGTCCAAACTTTAACTTATTGAGATCGATATAATATCCTTAATGTATAAAGTGTAATGAATAGATAACCAAATATGTCCAAAAATCAATGTATACATATATGAAATTAAACATAGAACATAAAATATATGAAAGTGACTAACTCCCACTAAACCACAAATTCCTCATACTGTAAAACACCCATGTGAGCAACATGCTCATGGAAGACCTTGGGCGGAAGTCATTTAATTAGAGGATATGTTATCATGGAGTTTGTCCTTAAGTGTTCTATGGAAATCTGTCCACTTTGTACTCTTTTCTTAACAATACAGTTGATTTATTGTCACAATATAACTTAAGTGGTCTTTCAATGCCTTTCATTTGCAGCCCTGTGACAAAATTTCTCAGCCATATTCCATGATTTGATGCCTCATAGCATGTTACAAATTCTTGACATCCTACAAAATCTGAGTCAGAAAACCCAGCGATCTCCAACTGGTCTGACCTCCTATATGTGAGCATATAATATTTTGTTCTCTTTAAATATCTTATGACTCTTTTTGCTGCTTTTCAATGGTTTATTCTTGGATTGCTTAAATATCTGCCTACAACCCCAACTATATATGCTATGTTTGGATGCGTACATACTTGGGCATAGATCAAACTCCCTACATCTAATGCATAGGGAATCTTTTGCATTTCCTCAATTTCCAAATTCCCCTTTGGGCATTGATTGAGACTAAACTTGTCTCCCTTTAAACTTGTGATACACACAATCATCAACAATATTCATCTTGAAGCCAAATGAGTTTCATACCTTCTCGTAATGGGACAAGTTCCCAAACCTTATTGTCTTGCATGGACTTATACTTCTCTTTCATTGCTTCCATCCACTTTTGAGAGTTAGAACCTTGTATAGATTAACAAAAGTTAACTGGGTCATCTTCCATTATATCATTATTTTCCTCATGTTACTGAAGAAATACCATGTAATCATCCGAAATAGCACTTCTTCTTTCTCTAGTGGATCTCTGCAAAGTTATTAGCTCATGATGCACAGGTTCTTGAGGATCTTGAGTTTGTTCTTCATGAACAACCAAATCATCTTGAGTAAGGGGTTCATCAACAATGCCTTGTGGAGGTTCCGAACTTACTTTATCAAAAGTAACTATTTGAATCGGTTCTGAAATTGTTACCGATTCTTCCTCCAAGATGAAGTTCTTAATCTTATTCTTCCCCCCAAACTCAATATCCTCAAAGAATGTAGTAGTTCCTATCTCAAAAATTATCTTTAATGTGGGATCATAAAATTTATATCCCCTGGATCTTTCAGCATAACCAATAAAATAACTACTTACTGTTTGGGAGTCCAATTTCTTTTTATTTGGCTTATAAGGCCTTGCCTCAACTGGACAACCCCACACATGGAAATGTTTCAAACTAGGTTGTCACCCAGTCCAAAGCTCATAAGGTGTTTTGGTAGCTGCTTTAGTTGGTACTCTGTTTAGAATATAAGCTATCGTATTTAGTGTCTCTCCCCAAAGTGATTCCAGTAAGGTGGAATGACAAATCATACTCTCTACCATATCTTTAAGAGTGTAACACAAGCCCAAACGTCACGATTTGATTGTGACCTGAGCACTTGTGCCATAATGCACCTAAGTGAATATTTTCAATTTTACGTTTAGTACCACGTGATTCTGTATTAAGAGTTTCATTATAGGTGGCCAGAATATCAAGTAAACACTGATTATCATAAATCAAAAGTGAACCAGTTCCAACAATATCTGGATTAAAAGACAAACTGAACTTATTGTTTCCAAATGAACACAAA